TCGATTTTTAACCAAAACCGGTTCGGTTAACCGGTTTATCCCACCCCTAGCTAGATATGGCTGTTTTCGGCCATAGTTTCCAGAAATGACCTTAGCGGCGCACGACTGGCTAGATCCGACCGGTCGTGCACCATTCTGTCGTTGGCGATCTGGCCACCACCTTTAGGTAATTTTTTTTTTTAAATTTCAAGGGTATTTATGTCCTAAAAACTTTGTATATAGGGATAAAATAGTCAATTAGTATTTTTATAAATCACTTCTTCTTGGGAAGATGAGAGTAATATTTTTATTTCTTCCTTTTGTTATTTTAAAAGTATTTTATTTTTCTATAGACAGATCCTACGAGATTTTATAAGAGATTTACAGATCGAGGCAGGGGGTGATATTGTCAAAATATATACTATTCAATGCACACAGAAATTGGAAGAAAAGAAATTGTAATGGAAGGCTTCGTTGATGCAATGATGATCGCGTGATTAGCATATGCGATAGTTGAAGGTTGAGGGCCTACCGTCTGATTCAAAGAATATATTGAAACAATAAGAAATGATTGAGCGTCAGGTTGGCAAAGGAAAGAATATACTTGGTAACCAAATATTGATCATTGAAGAATTGTAGGTTTTAGGTAGAGCATTGTTGCTGGTTGGCTTTGCATTTTTTTGAAGTGGGATATTTTTTTTGTTTCAAAATACGAGTACTTGTAGGTATACCTAGACTTGAGCATTTGGGACCGGTCCTAAAAAATCGGCTAAAAAAACCGGTCCAAGGATCGGTCCTCGCAAGGACCGATCCTATGAGGCCTAGTCCTAAACCCTAAACCCTAAATCCTAAACCCTATGAGGCCTAGTCCCAAACCCGAACTAGGCCCATGGAGAAGGGACCAGTCCCTAGATCGGGCCCTCCTCCAAGGTCGGTCCCAGGCCCGACCTAAACCCCTTTGCATTTTTTCAAACAAGTCCTCTAGAAAAAATCTAAAAACCCCCTATAATTTTGAAATGACAAAAATATTGAGGGTTAAATTGATATTTTACAAAATTTACTAATCTCAAGGTGTGCAAAAAAATTTCCAGACTCTTAAAAATTACATAAACCCCGCTATATAATTTTATTTAACCCCTTAAATATAAAAAAAGTTGCGGGCTGGAAAAAATTTTCCAGGCCTTAAGGATTGGTCCTATGAGCCCAAGATCGATCCTAAGGACCGGTTTGGGCCATGAAATTTCTCATGGGTCCCAGGCCCATGAGTGACTAGTCCTAAATGGGACCAGTTCTATTGGGACCAGTCCCAATCGAGCACAGACTCGGACCTGGTTAAGACCGGTCCTTGCCCATGTCTAGATATACCTGGCCCAATTGTTTTAAAAATGGGTAGGGTCGGGTACAGGTCACATGAAAATGGGTCCTAAAATGCCTATCCATACCCATTTTCAAAATAGGTGCCCGTGGGTATAGTATAGACCCATTTTGTCAGGTCTAAATCTAACCAAACACATTTTCCTAAACATTCTAAGTAATTTTCAAGGTGTGTTTGGTTTAGAGAATGTTATATTAATGGAAAGATAGATTACCATGAAGATTATCAGGATGTTTAGGGAAATGTGTTTGGTTGGTTGAAATAAATTGATGGATATGTTATATAAATTACTAAAGTGTCCTCCTTTTTAAATATTAATATATTATTATTTTTTAAATAATTTCTTTTAACCCCCTAGATTTCAGATTTAGCTAAAACACTCCAGCAACAAAAAAAGTTTAAAACTTAACAAAAACACCCCCACTCACCCCAAGCCACTTTCGGTGGTGATAGTGGAGATCTAGTCGTGAAATGACGGCCGTTTCACAGTCAAATATCTAGCCTTTCACGGCCACATCTTTGGCCATGGAACAACCATAAATCTGGCCGTGAAAGGCCAAATATGGCTATTTTCGGCCATGGATTTGCCAGAAACAACCTTAGCAGCACATTGCTGGCCAGATCCGATCAGTTGTACACCATTCTGTCGCTGGCGACTAGTGGTGGTGGCCAAATCCAGCCACCACCCTTGGGTAATTTTTTTAAATTTTGAGGGTATTTATGTCCTAAAAATTTTGTATATAAAGATAAAATTGTCAATTAGTATTTTGGTAAATTGTTTTTCAAACAAGGGAATTATTGTCTTAAATTTTTATTAATAAGGGGTAAAATTGTAACAAAAATAAGATTACCAAGTAATCTTAAAATACTTAAGAAAATGAAGGTAATCAGATTACCTCCTATATTACCAATAGTAACTGCTATTGGTTTTGAAAGATTATCATAATCTTATATTACTTGACAACCAAACGTGGTAATCAAGTAATATAAGATGACATTACCTCAGTAATCCCTTATTACCCCCAACCAAGCACACCCTTAAAGTAATCTATCTTTCCATTAATATAATATTCCCAATAATACAACATTCCCTAAACTAAACGCACTCTTATATCATTAAGATATGTTAAACCAACGTATCTTTCATCAATTCTCATATAACGGGGTTTATTTTATTTTCTAAGACAACTTAATATTTAAATTCGTTTATTTTGTTCAAAAAATATTAAAATACTCTTTTTAAAGGTTTTTTTTTTCTTCACAATTTTATAAAAGAATATTTGATATTTCAAAGGCATTTTCGAATTATAAGAATTTTTTTTTTTTAATAATTTTGTACTGTTTGGTATTTTTAAGAGGTTTTCTGTTTAGATAATTTTTAGGAAAAATTAATATTTTCTAAACAAAGTGAATGACTTTATTTCTAAGGGATGGTATAGGAGGAAATATAAACACTAAGAAAATGAATAAATAAAAAGGGTTATCTGTACTTTTATCCTCAAGGTTTGAAGTGTATTACACTACTATGCGATACAAATAATTTAGTCCAATCAGGTTACATTTTTCAATAAAAAAGTTTATAACACCCTTCTTGTTTTATTCACATATTGTTAGGAATTAATCAAATATAGAAAAATAAAAAGTTTGGATTTTAAATTTTTTTTATATTGTTCACTAGAGTTTTAGTTTTAATATCTTTTGTATTTATAATTGTGATGATAAATACTTAGATGATATTTTCATAAATGTGAAATTAAGCAAGTTTTATAATATAATAAAAGTGGTCCATATTATATTTAGATAACAATCATTACTTTTGTGAAAAATTAACATTTGTTTGAAGTGTATCATATACTTTTGTTTTTTTATATATTTTATTAATTTCTACTAATATGTAACAAAATAACAAGGGCATTATAGATATTTTGTTAAAAAGTTTCACTTTACTGTAAGCAAATATACTCTAAACTTATGGACAAAAGTGTAAAAATAAAAGAGTAAACTAACAGGGCCCTAGATTTTTGCGAGGTTTACAGCAATGTTCTGAAAACCAGACTGGACGGACCAGTCTGATTGTCAATCGGTGTCCTCTTCGATCTGAATTTCTAATTTTACTGTTCACACAAATCCCTAATCTTACATTCGACCAACAAGGGGCTACCAAGTACTGGGGTTAGAGGGTTTTTGTAGAGAGGAGGCTGGTGGTTCGGGGGTGGTGTCGGATTGAATTTTGGATGTCGAAATTCGGTCAGAAAAATTAACCTAATACGCGAGTCAAGGCTAGTGAACCAGGGGCTGCCAAGTGCCAGGGTTTGATCGATTTTGTAGAGTGGAGTTTGGCGGTAATGTTGGATTGAATTTTTTATGTCGGAATTAGCTGAAATTTTTTCAAAAAAATCAAGCCAATCGTAGTGGTGTTAGTGAGTCATAACCGACGAACAAGGTGCTACCAAGTTCCGGGGTTACTCGAGGACGATGGTTTAGGTGGTGGTGTCAGATTGAATTTTGGCGGTCGGAATCAGCTGAAATTTGGTTCGAAAAGTTAAAACCCAAAAAAATCATAGAGGTGTATTTGCTATATTTGAAGCCTATAGGGACTGAAAAAGTTTTTAAGAGTGTTTTTGTAAGATTTTAAACTTTTTAGACCATCGCTTGACCTGCCAGTTTAACTGGTCAGACCTATCAAACCATGAACTGGCCCCTTGATCAGGTCAAGGCTTGATCTAGTTTTCAAAACATTGGTTTACTAGCTTTGAATTCCCCTTTTGTCTCATTTTGTCTAATAAAGAGAGGAGAAAGCGAGATGTCGCATAGTTTTGGGTTTGGGTAATCAGATCTCGATTGGCCCAAATATAAGTCCACATATTTTTTTTCTTTTTATTAAAAGGAGAAATAATCTTCGGGCTTCGTTTATATATATTTTTTGCTTTGATTATTTAACCAAATTAACCTTAAATAAAAGAAAAATGCTATCCTTACAAAGCCCATACAAAGAGGACTACAAAGTGGCATCATCTAGAAAAGAAAAAACAAAAAAAAAAAGGGGAAAGAGAGAGAGAGAGAGAAATCATAAAAATCAAAGGTGAAGATTACTTTGTATGACCCTTTTGTAAAACTAACATTGCTCTAAATAAAAATATCAAAAAACACTTGTTGAAGAAACAGTTAGTTCACTCCATTTATTACATTTTTATTTTGTTTACCAACCATTTTTGTGTTTGATTTGTTACATCTGAGACTGAGATGAATAATTTATCGAAACTGAAACATTGTTCTTTTGTTGTGTTCACTACGATGATTGATACAAACTTTCTTTTTTGTTTTGTCATTTCGATTATTGATCCATGATAATCAGAGACAACCGATGACTATTATGTAAAAAAAATATGGGAAAACCTTCAAGTAACTTCATGGCGAAGAAATCTTTCTACATGTGAAAGTCGAGGAAAAAAAGTTTGCCAACTGTTTGTTTGATGACAAGACTGGCAATTGCTGCAAATCTTTACCAGAAAATTGAAACGAAAATATGAAAAATAAAGGCATCATCAGTTATCTTCTAATGATTCAAGAAAAAGTCAAAAACAAGCTATTTGAAAAAAAAAAAAAAAAAAAAAAAAAAACGGTTTTAAATTAAAAAAAAAAATAATGAAAGAAAAGAAACCCTGTAATTAATGTGTTTCATATGAGCTGTACGTACACTGCATTTCTCAGTCTAGAACTTGTAGCTGATACAACTCCGCATTTTCAATTACTTCCTTTAGAGCATCTCGACCCAAAAACTTGGGAAATTAATGCATTTGTATAAATCATCATCACAGGCTCAAAAATTTCCAAGTCTCGAACCAAACCTTTTCCTGTGGTGGTAATTCTCAGGCAGAAGCCTTTTGTGGTGCTCCACAAGGAACACTTAACAATTTAGGAAGCCAGCTTCCTCCATTGCAAGCTTATCAATTTCACTTTCAACCTATGATCAGCTTCAAATAATAAAAATCAGTAGAGAAAAAGACTTAAATTACTGAGTAGAAGAAGCTGAAGTATGATTTGGCGGTATTTACAATGATGATTTCAGCAGCTTCCTTTATATCATCAAGTCCAAATAACCATTTCTCTGTGATCCTCTCCTGAAATGAAAGCAACAATCCAACAAGAAAATCAGCAATGCAGCTACACTTTGATTATAGATTGACAAAACAGGAATGACAGGTACTGAAACTGCACTTTTATGTACCATGAAAAAATTCACTATCCCCACACAAGAAATGAAAGAAATTGTCTCCTTAAGCATAGGAATAAAGAACTTAAACTGAAACCATGGGCAAGAACTGGACATGTAAAATGGGCTGTGCCGACCCATTTTTTCCATATTACTATTCTTACTGGAACTAGGAGTGATCTTAGGATATTGTTTGTGGATAATTCAGAGTGCAGTGAGAGAATCCATCAATCTAGGACTTGGGAGTCAGTTACCATGTGATCTTAATTACCTCTCTGGAATTGCTTTTCTAAAAGCCAAAACTAATTAATTATAGCATTTTATGTGGCTGTGCTATATCAAATATTTCCCACTTGTATCTCTGCCATTCCATTGGTATATCAAACTATATTTACCCATTCAACAATCCAAGGACAGGATTAGCACAAATACCTGAAAATTTTTTTTCTCCCGGTTGGAAAGCAAACTTCAAGATGAGTGAAAGAACAATCATAAATGTAGATGAGTGAAAGAACCATCATAAATGTTGAGAATAAAAATGTTAAGATAATCCACAATCAACAAGTCAAATAAGCTAACAAGACTTGCATCTATAAATATGAATTGCTAGATGTACTATATTACACTGATAAGTAAATATAGCCAAAAACTCAACAGATTAATCAAAACCAGGGGACAAAGAAAAAATAGTGCAATACGTCAACAACTGCTAACATCCACATGCAAATGGGAATAGAAAGGAGACTGAATGCAGTCAGGAGTAAGGTAAAATAACTCTTACAAACTTAGTTGATCAAATCCATAGTAAATCATATCGTGACATACCCTAACAATTCTAGATTGGAACAATTGATCCCAAATGTGAATCCATTTTCATTTCCGAATGATACTTTCAAAGGAATTCAAAAAGCTACTTCAACAAGAATCTATCTTGCCCACTAGTTGCAATCATTTCCTACACCTTGGCTTCTGCCACAATCACATGGCCAACTAGCTATAAATGAGAATTAACCCTTTTAACAGGGCACAAGGTTACTCAATCAAATAAATGATAGCAAGATACATTATCTTGTGCTTGTCAAATTTTATGGCTGAACTAATTATACTAAGAACCAATCTTGCGAAAGGGATTCATAATACCTGACATTAGATTAGGGTTGTTTCAATGCATTTTACTTCAACAAGAATTCCAATAAACTTTTCCCTGACTGTAATCTATTTTCAGTCATCCATGGTATCATTCCAAAAATTGTTCAACCTCAAAATCACTTTTAATAATATAAATGATAAGAATTATATCAAAAGATTAATGATCAGAACTAAGTTGCTGCAGTTGCAAAGGAACCTGATCACCAGATAACTGCATAACAGAATTTCTCTGGAGAGTTCCCTTAGATATCATCCACTCAGCAAAACATGCAATTAGCTGAAAAAAAGACAGAATATAAATTCTGAATCATTATCAAGCTCAACGAATAAGGACTCTGAATTAATAGGATTTAGACGCTCGCAAGACATAACTTGACAATTCCTTGAATATAGTATAATTCAACAAAGAAAGAAAGAAGCTCATAAAAATCAAAAGAAATAAAAGAAGAGAAGTCAGCATACATGCCTTGTCACCCAGTGGTTCTAATCCTAAGCTCTTCTCTGTCATTTGTTTCGATGAAAAAACTTTTGCATTGTTGTTGCTGACTGCAAAGGCCTACAACCGAAGTTATCAATTGACCAAGAAATAGCATACAACAAATTTAGGTCAGACAAACACTCATTACAATATTACAAGAAGGAACCGAATTTGGATTTATTAAATAGTTTAGCATACAAATTATGAACTTATAAGAAGGAAAACTTGAAATTTAAGGTTGAGAGCCTTTTAACTTGTGTTTTTGATAGTCAAAAGCAGAAGTACTTCAACAAGAAGCAGAAGGATTTCTACAAGAAGGGATTACCTGGCCTGCCCATCCACAATTAGCTCGAAAACACCTCCACATTGCAAATCCCTACATCAAGTGAAATCCAACCCAGTCGGCCACCACTCACAAAAGATTCTACACAAATAAATCAAATTAATTTTTTTTTTTTTTTTTTTTTTTTTTTAAAAAGGCAGCTTTCTGCTTACCCATCTTGGATTATATGAAGAGACAAACTTCTCTCCATTGACTGACCTCCTTTACACTAAAGCCAGAGAACCACTCAATATTCAAACCAAAATTAAAACAACAACAACAACATATAAAGATAACAATGAAGCTACAAGAAACACACACCTGTGGACAAAACAAGCAATTATACTGTCCAGCAATACAAGAATCGTTGCAAATTATCCCAACAAGCTCCAATTTCTGATTTACTTTCTCAAGTTTCAAATTACTATCAATGCCACTCACTTTTTCTGTGAGCTCCACCTTATTATCTTATAAAACAAGAAGAACCCATCAAATTTACGAAGTAATGAGAGCAAATAATGCATAATTTTAGGGAAAAGGAATTACGGGGACGTGGGCTTGGCTAGACCAAACAGGGTTTAGTATTCTTCTGGGTAATGTTGGGAATGAAAAGTAACACCTGTGAATTATACCAAAGGGCATATTTATTTTGTTCAACTGAGTTTGATGCTTCAACCTTTAACTCTTCTCTATCATATGAAAACGAGGAAGCTGTTTAGGAGATATGAATGGGTATGATAATTTTGTGTCGTTATTGTCTCTGTAGCTTGTTTGTTAGCTCAAATTGGCCGGTCTGCAACCACATGCTAAGGCGGAGCTATGGCCGCTAAAAAATAAATAATAAATGACATTTAAACCACCGTAAATTATGAATCAAATCAAGCGCCCTAATGTCCGAAACTTTGAATTTTGATCCCTTTAGAATTGGATATAGTTGATGGAGAAAGAGGAGAGGACAAAATGGACATTTCAAAACGAAATAGAAATTTATTAAATTAATTAAAAAGTGAAAATTTTCTGAATTGAAAAAATAATAAAAATTTTAGAAACTTCTAAATTAAAACCAATTATATAATTCAAAACTTAAAAAAAAAAGAAAAAATACAATACCAAAAAAATAGAAACAAAACTCCTAACCTTTCACAATAATTTTGAAGTTTTTATTTTTTAAATTCACAGAAATTAAAAATATATATTTAAAGTTGTTAAATTCTCCTGATTATAGAGATTGTAAAAAAATTAATAATAATCATGTATTCTGATAGTTCTGCTGGTTCCCCTGTTTAATTATGCAGAGAAGTCCTCTGCCTCTTACTATATTTGTCTATGCCAATAATTAATTACAGGTAATAATTAATAAATTAATGATTCTATGAATGGAATTAAAGATTGATGAATTCAGAAACAACAAAGGCTTTACCTGAATGAAAAGTAATTAAAATTTCAGTCTTTTGGGTTGTGGTTCCTCTTCCATGTTTGAGCTGAAATCTCCTTTATGTTGTTCCACTTGTTCTTCAGAACAGCGGGGGTGATCCTCTTCATCTATATAAAGCCCACACTTCACCACATTGTAATAGTTTCCTCTGAAATCAAAAGTAAGATAACGGGTTTTTTCACCCAGGGAACGTGGCAGAATATTCCACACCATTACATGATCTGACATAAGAAACATGTTTTCAAATCTTATCATGTCCCACCACCCATCATTTTCTTTTCCATCGAGTGTCTTACCATTTTCATCCATGCCAATCACCTTATAACGAAAATAGAAACATTTGGGAGCTTTGTTATGGTCTTGAGATGTTACAACAAGGCACACTTTCAAACTAAGGAAGAGTTTCGGAGGAGGTAGTGGTGCCACCTCGAGAGTTATAGAAGATCCCACATTTTGGAAGCTGAACCACTCTGGAATTTCATTTCCAGGAAAGAGACAACGACCGTGCGATCTGCTATGGAACATCCCACATTGTTTCTATACAAAAAGAATATTTAACAACATATGTTAAAATATAAAATAAAAAACATCGATTTTTTAAGGAAATCTAGAGAATGAAAGTCATACCTGTCCCAAATTGGCTTTTAGCATATTCTGATCCAGTTTTAAACAGTTACCAAAGTCAGCATACTCCACCGACGAGGATAAATCAAAATCACATAACTCCAATGATATACAATTGTATGCTTTAACAGTTGTAGCGCCTAATGGTAAGCATTTAAGCCTCTCACAATAGCTTATGTCTAGATCCTCCAATTTAAGTTGTTTGAAGCTTGATGGTATCCATTCAAAATTGTTTCTGCTTAGATTTAACTTTCGTAGAGAGTAAAACTTACCAAGAATGTCGAGTAACCCCATGATTTGACAATTAGATAAATTTAACTCATATAGCGACAAATATGATAAAAAAGGCCCTAAACCCACCTTGAGACTTTTAAGCCTTGAATAGTCTTCAAGATCCAACCCTCTTAGTTTTGATGGATATTCAATCAAGGTCAACTCTGTTATAGATGTTCCATCAAAACATACTTGCTTCATGCTACATGAGACCTTTGGAGCCTTCTTGAGCTTTGAGCAACCAGAGAGAATGAGAACTTTTGATTGAATGTCGGCGGGAAGACTGTTAAGGTTTTTGCAACCTTCAAGATCCAAGATAACCAGCTTATTTAGATATTGAATTGATGAATGAATCTCAATCAAACTTGTACAACCTTGTAGAATCAAAATCTCAAGATTTGGGGCTAATGAGAGATCTGGAATTCTAATTAGGTGCTTGGAGTTGATGAGGTTGATATGCTTCAACTTTTCTAAATGCTGCAAACAATAAATTAAGGAGATGAGGAAGTGACATAAATTATATGATGAGCCTTATGATTTTCTACACAAACAGAATATGAAGATAAATATTTATACCTGGAGACCATTCCAGAGTTGTTTAATATTGCTACAAGGAATGATAAGTGCAAAAAGATTTTCAAACACAAAATTTGATGGCAATGAATCCAAAGGATATCCAAACCAGCGAAAGAACCTTATGTTACATGGACTGAATTCTAGGCCCTCCAAAGCATGCACCTTATTCACATTCTCTGAGCAATATTCACAAGTCTGTTCATCCATTAAGCAACACGCGCAAGGAAAACGCCACTGTCCATAGCAATTGCCAAAAAAACCACGTCGCCCTTCCTTGTCCGGGCAATAAAAGTCCAAGAACCTGAGGTTTTGCATCTTCATGAAAGCATTGCACTTCAAGTTTATCTCTTTTATTTTAGAAATATCTAAGGAGATGCATTCAATTGCTTCACTTCCCTAACAATCAAATGATAATAAATTAGTATCTTAAATAAATGTCAAAATCTACTATTACAACACATAGTTTTAAAATTAAATTCAATTTTTTTTTTTTCTCGGATTTTTTTTTTTGGTAAAATACAAATGTAGACATGCCTCAAATCTAATTTAACCCTTCACTGTAGGAACTGATAAATTAGATTCTATACGTACATGATGCATGATAAAAATTAATAATAACAAATGGATGATGTTATCCAACTTATAATAATATAAATAAATTAATCAGTCAATAACTCACCGTGTTTCTTCTTAACACATCATAGATATCATCATGACGCCATAATCTGCTGCGTTTACTTGGATCTTTAGATTCTTGCTTGACAATTTTCTCTCCCATTTTTTGTAACAAATCATGCATTTTTATAATGTTGACATAATCTACAGTTATAAGAGACTTGTCAATGAGATTCCGTACTCCCATTTTGGAATCAAAATAATAACCATCAAGGATTTCCATTGCAGTATTTCTATCAAATCCAATAAGAAAGCATGCTATATCTAGAAATATATCTTTCTCTTGATCATCAAGTCCATTATAACTTAGTTTCAGTACATCTTGGATCTTTGGATTTGGATTTGGATTTTTTTCTAGGTTAACCAATGCACTTTTCCATTCTAATTTTTTCTTCTCAAATAATGAAGAACCCAAAACTTCAAGAGCTAATGGAACACCTTGAGCAAATTTTATTACCCTTATTGATAGCTTCATGTAATCTGTAGGGGGATGATCTAGTTTAAATGCATGACGACTAAAATGTTTAAGAGATTCATTAGATGGTAATCCCTTAACTTTATATATGTTACCATGACTTACTCCACAAGTTTTAAGCACTTGTTTATCTCTTCCTGTAATAATGACTCGACTTCCAGGACCCAAACATTCAAGATCTCCAATTAACTTTTCTATTTGCTGTGAACATGTCACATCATCAAAAACAATGAGAACTTTCTTATTGTGAAACCTGCTTTTGGTGAAGGTGGACTCTAAAACAGCCCATCGATCTTCTAATATTGCAGAGAGAAGTTCTTGACCCAAATGAATTAATCCAAATTTTTCCAAATTTTCCCTGATATTTTGAAAGTGAACACTCTCAAATTGACTTGAAATTTTGGTGAATAATGCATGAGCAAGAGTTGTCTTGCCTATACCACCCATTCCCCAAATCCCAACACTCCTGCAAACATCTTTTAACTCAAGACGTAATAGCAATTCAAGTTTCTCTATTTTTGATTTTATCCCAACGAGGTCCTTGTTTTCACTCGGGGACATTTTATTCAGTTCTTCCAATATTTTTTTGACAATTTCCCCTATTAACACAGCTTCACGCCTAGCAAAATATAAAACACTTTAGTTAGTTTAATTAAATCAAAATAGAAAAAAAACAATGCTTTTTAATTACAATATCTATGCAAACAAAGCATTTGAATTAAGAGAAAACAACATAATGGATACATTCCATAACAGTTACCTAATGTTAATTTAATAATCTTCCGTCAGGCCTTGTGAAAGAACCATAACAAAGAGTAAAATTCATAGTTTTGTACTTTTGTTTACCACATACTCTATACTAGCTTAACAGCACATTTATACGTAATTAAATTCATTAAAATATAAATATAAATGGATTTCATTTTATTGTTTTTTTTTTTTAAACATTTTGAGTCCCCTATTAATTGTATCCTTCTCAGATATATATAAATATTAAATAATCTACAATATCTTAAAATTCATGTACTTTAATTTTCTTAAATATTATAGTATTAGAATTTATTTTTTCACATTTAACTATTTTACTAGATTTTTTCACTAATGATAAATATTAAATATCTAAATACTAGGGATATGTTTTGTCAATTTTATATATAATAAATAAATTTCTTTTCCCCAAATTAAGAAGAGAAGTCTTCATCCATTGAAATATCTAATGTAAATGTCTGCAAAAAGTAAATGTAATTGAGAAATTCAATTAGCGTACAATTACCTAATGTTACTTGAATCAAATCCGGATAGATTAGCTGCTTCTTTCAAAGCATTCCGCCATCTCATCACCTTCTCTGAGCTCTGGTTTTCTTCATGGTTCACAAATGCTTCTCTAATCGTTCCAGTTTGATTCCTTACATCTGATGGATTCACGTGATAGAAAACTGGCACTACCATCAGATCTCTCGCTTTCTTGCATTCAATGATCTTTGCAAGTTCTTCAAGGCACCATCTAGACGTGGCATAACCTTTTGAGAAGACAATAACTGCGATCATTGATTCTTCGATCGTATTCAAAAGTGCTTCTGAAATTTCATCTCCTCTATGAAGCTCATCATCAATGAAAGTGTTGATTTTCTTTGAACACAGAGCTGCATAGAGATGGCTTGTAAAGTTGTCACGTGTATCCTCACCTCTAAAACTCAGAAAAATATGATATTTTTGAGAAACTCTGGAAGAAGAAGATGATAAAGCCATTATTACACTTCACACTTGACGAAAGGCTGCCTAAAGAAGAGAGAGTTTTGAACTTTGCATATGTAAACAGTGCACAGAATTTTAAAATTATATAACCAAGACAGTGATATGCTTGCCTAATTCAATGAACCTTCCACGAAGTTGCACTGATGTTGACGTAAAACAAATTTTTTTATTATTATTAAAATAAAAATGAGTTTATATCCCATTTCTCGGAAGGTGCACTGATGTTGACTTAAAAGTCTTTTGAGTCTTTTAAGAAGAGAAAATTTCGAAACAATAAATAGATAGACTGACAAAATCTTTCATCATCTTCGAGAAAGTTGGCTACTAATCACATATTATTATGGGCCTATTTAACGTGCGCTCAGGCCTCTTGAACATTTTGTTAAATAATTCTAAATTCACTACTCTTAATGGTTTCATTCTTCAACCAGTCCCAATCCATTGGGCTTTTTGGCCCAGTACAGAATTGATAATCATTATTAACAATAATTAATAAAAATTGATAATTGACATGTAATACATGACATGGTAAAGTAATGTTAATATTACATAAACCATGTAACATTATTGACATAACGGAATAATATTAAATGTTAGATGTCTTTTAGTATAGAGTTTTGAACATATATACGATATCTTTTGAGTCCAGACAAAATATCGAATTCACAACAAAAAAAATTTCAAGAGAAAATCTTTTGATATGAAAAATATTCAAGGAAAAAAGTTATGCAATCTGTTTGTTTGAAGACAAGGCCGGCAATTTGCTGCAAATCTTTACCAGAAATTTGAAATGAAAATATGAACAATATAATCAGTTATCTTCTATTGATTCAAGAAAAAGTTCATAAACAACTATTTTCAAAAATATATATGTTTCTTTCTTTCATATATATATATATATATATATATATATATATATATGAAAGAAAGAAAAGAAAGTCTGTAATTAATGTGTTTCATATGAGCTTTATGTACACTGCATTGCTCGGTCTGGAACTTGTAGCTGATACAACTCTGGGTTTTCAATTACTTCCTTCAGAGCATCTCCACCCAAAAACTTGAGAACCTATGGCCACCAACCAAACGAAGCAGTAAGAACATACGCAGATTGTCCTTTAGAAACAGAATAAAAAAGTTACAGTCCAAGTCCTCCAATCAATGAGGACAGTAAGATTCATGAATTAATAAATCATGAGAGAAAGTGCAGAATAAAAGCCAGACGGCAAAGGCGTAGAATAGTGGACATAACCAAATACAGTAAATCAACATTGTTGCTTGCTTCCAAAGGAAAACAGGAAAGGAAAGGAGGAAATGAGAATCAAAAACCTCATTTGCATCATTGAAGCAACAGAACTCATCTTTCTTCGGCCATTGGACACGACAACATCTGAAAACCGACAAACAAACTACATCAAGAGATAATTCTAAGTATATGGATACTACTTTTGGGGGGCAATATAAAAAGAATTCAGTCGCTAAACCTAAAACATGACGATGATAATCAGACAGGGCGTAATATTGTAGTAAAGATACCATTTTATACTACTATTACTAAAGATATTGCCTACATTAAGGTTTCACCAGGTCAAGATTTTGCACCATCAATTTGATAATTCAGTGCCAAATAAACCAAAAGCTATAAATTTTGGACTATTGATAAGTAGGTTGTTGTGCGTGAAAGTGATATACTCTGCTATCAATCACTATGCTACAGCACTGAATCAAATTAATATTGTAAATGAATTTAATAATTGAAAGCATTTGTGGAATAGATGATTTGCATATATAAGTTTCTAGAAGACTGTATAAGTCTGAATTAATTTATAATTGAAACCTCTCTTTTCCAAGACGGCGTGCTAGCTCTTCAGCCAAGGCCTGGCCGGGTACATCACCATCAGTTGCCAGGATAATGCGAGAAACCTACAAGATTTATTAACGCTTTTAATAAATAATAACAAGCAATGAAAAGAGAAAGACCAATAAAAATTTGCATATCGGCTCTATCACTAAAGCATGCATATGTATTAAGTTTACCCTATCCAAGTGCTCTTTGCAGTTCCATATATATTGATATCCCGTGTCCTATGTTCCCAAACAACAAGCAGAAAAGAAATTGTAAACAAATATTAAAAAAAATAAGATAAAATAAAATAAAAAACCACAACACAACAAAAAATAACTTTTAATTAAATACAAGACACTAATTGCAAGTCAAAATAAAAAAATAAAAATATCAATGAATAATTTGTTACTCTTTCATAAGGAAGATGCAATCAAACCTTATATAGAATGGAAGAACTATTTTTATCGACCACTTACATTATGCAATATTTCTTGGCAATGAACACATAATACAAAATATACGTTAATTCAAAGCAAATTTAGAAAAACTTAAATGGGCTACAAATAGAATGAAATCGATGGCTTTGTAAAAGAGAAGCTAAATCTAATTCAATATGATATCTTAATTCAAAGGAATAATTTATTGGATACTTAAGAATTTGGGTTAAATGTAGGGATGCATTTATATTCAGGAAAAATATCAAAGTTCTTTCATATTTGCCAATTAATAAAAGGTCTTTTAATGATGCTATATATACTTCTTTGCATAAAGGAAATTAATACATTTGTATAAATCATCATCACAGGCTCCAAAATTTCCAAGTCTCAAACCAAACCTTTTCCCGTGGTGGAAATTCTTTGGCAGAAGCCTTTTGCGGTGCTCCACAAGGAACACTTACACAATTTAGGAAGCCAGCTTCCTCCATCGCAAGCTTATCCATTTCACCTTCAACCTATGATCAGCATCAAATAATAAAAATCAGTAGAAAAAGAGATTTAAATTACTGAGTAAAAGAAACTGAAGTATGATTTGGCGGTATTTACAATGATGATTTCAGCAGCTTCCTTTATATCATCAAGTCCAAATAACCATTTCTCTGTGCCCCTCTCCTGAAATGAAAGCAACAATCCAACAAGAAAATCAGACTACAAAGCAGCTACACTTGATTATCGATTGACAAAACAGGAATGACAGGCACTAAAATGGCACTTTAATGTACTACGGACAAATTAACTATCCCCACATAACAAATGAAAGAAACAGTCTCCTTAAGCTTAGGAATAAAGAACTTAAACTGAAACTATAGGCTAGAACTGGACATGTAAAATGGGCTGTGCCAACCCATTTTTTCCATATTACTATTCTTACCGGAACTAGGAGTGATCTTAGGATATTGTTTGTGGATAATTCACAGTGCAATGAGAGAATCCATCAATCTAGGACTTGGGAGTCAGCTACCATGCGATCTTAATCACCTCTCTGGAATTGCTTTTCTAAAAGCCAAAACACATAAATTATAGCATTTTATGTGGCTGTGCTATATCAAATATTTCCCACTTATATCTCTGCCATTCCATTGGTATATCAAACTATATTTACCCATTCAACAATCAAAGGACAGGATTAGCACAAATACCTGCCAAAAAATTTTCTCCCGGTAGGTTCGGTACTTGCAACCAACGAGCACCCCATTTTGTCTAAAAGGGAAAGCTATGACAGCCTGTTTACAAAATTTTTATTAGTGGTTAGAAAGCAAACTCAAGATGAGGGAAAGAATCATCATACATNTCAGCAGCTTCCTTTATATCATCAAGTCCAAATAACCATTTCTCTGTGCCCCTCTCCTGAAATGAAAGCAACAATCCAACAAGAAAATCAGACTACAAAGCAGCTACACTTGATTATCGATTGACAAAACAGGAATGACAGGCACTAAAATGGCACTTTAATGTACTACGGACAAATTAACTATCCCCACATAACAAATGAAAGAAACAGTCTCCTTAAGCTTAGGAATAAAGAACTTAAACTGAAACTATAGGCTAGAACTGGACATGTAAAATGGGCTGTGCCAACCCATTTTTTCCATATTACTATTCTTACCGGAACTAGGAGTGATCTTAGGATATTGTTTGTGGATAATTCACAGTGCAATGAGAGAATCCATCAATCTAGGACTTGGGAGTCAGCTACCATGCGATCTTAATCACCTCTCTGGAATTGCTTTTCTAAAAGCCAAAACACATAAATTATAGCATTTTATGTGGCTGTGCTATATCAAATATTTCCCACTTATATCTCTGCCATTCCATTGGTATATCAAACTATATTTACCCATTCAACAATCAAAGGACAGGATTAGCACAAATACCTGCCAAAAAATTTTCTCCCGGTAGGTTCGGTACTTGCAACCAACGAGCACCCCATTTTGTCTAAAAGGGAAAGCTATGACAGCCTGTTTACAAAATTTTTATTAGTGGTTAGAAAGCAAACTCAAGATGAGGGAAAGAATCATCATACATCTAGATATCTTATCAGAGGTTCACAGCGCTCGCCATGTGCATAGCTGAGAATAAAAATGCTAAGATACCAAGAGTTGCATCCACAAATATGAATTGCTAGATATACCATATTACACTGATAAGTTAATATAGCCAAAAACTCAACAAATTAATCAAAACCATGGGACAAAGAAAAAATAGTGCATTATGTCAACAACTGCTAACATCCACATGCCAATGGGAATAGAAAGGAGACTGAATGCAGTGAGGAGTAAGGTAAATTAACTCTTACAAACTTAGTTGATCAAATCCATAGTTATCATATCGTGACATACCCTAATAGTTCAAGATTGGAACAAGTGATCCCAAATGTGAATCCATTTTCATTTCCGAATGATACTTTCAAAGGAGTTTAAAAAGCTACTTCAACAAGAATCTAACTTGCCCACTAGTTGCAATCATTTCCTACACCTTGGCTTCTGCCACAATCACATGGCCAACTAGCTATAAATGAGAATTAGCCCTTTTAACAGGGCACAAGCTTACTCAATCAAATAAATGATAGCAAGATACATTATCTTGTGCTTGTCAAATTTTATGGCTGAACTAATTATACTAAGAACCAACCTTGCGAAAGGGATTCATAGTACCTGATATTAGATTAGGGTTGTTTCAATGCATTTTACTTCAACAAGAGTTCCAATAAACGTTTCCCTGACTATAATCTATTTTCAGTCATCCATGGTATCATTCTAAAAATTGTTCAACCTTAAAATCACTTTTTATAATATAAATGATAAGAGTTAAATCAAAAGATTAATGATAAGAATTAAGTAGCTGCAGTTGAAAAGGAACCTTATCACCAGATAACTGCATAACATAATTTCTCTGGAGAGTTCCCTCAGATATCATCCGCTCAGCAAAATATGCAATTAGCTGAAATAAAGACAGAATATAAATTCTTAATCATTATCAATCTCAACGAATAAGGACTCTGAATTAATAGGATTTAGACTATCGCAAGACATAACTTGGCAATTCCTTGAATATAGTATAATTCAACAAAGAAAGAAAGAAGCTCATAAAAATCAAAAGAAATAAAAGAAGAGAAGTCAGCATACATGCCTTGTCACCCAGTGGTTCTAATCCTAAGCTCTTTTCTGTCATTTGTTTCGATGAAAAAACTTTTGTATTGTTGTTGCTGTCTGCAAAGGCCTACAACCGAAGTTATCAATTGACCAAGAAATAGCATACACCAAATTTAGGTCAGACAAACACTCATTACAATATTACAAGAAGGAACCGAATTTGGATTTATGAAATGGTTTAGCATACGATTTATGAACTTATAAGAAGGAAAACTTGAAATTTAAGGTTGAAAGCTTTTTAACTTGTCTTTTTGATAGTCAAAAGCAGAAGTACTTCAACAAGAAGCAGAAGAATTTCTACAAGAAGGGATTACCTGGCCTGCCCATCCACAATTAGCTCGAAAACACCTCCACATTGCAAAATCCCTACAACAAGTGAAATCCAACCCAGTCGACCACCACTCACAAAAGATTCTACACAAATAAATCAAATTATTATTTTTAAAGGCAGCTTTCTGCTTACCCATCTTGGATTATATGAAGAGACAAACTTCTCTTCATCGACTGACCTCCTTTACACTAAAGCCAGAGAACCATTCAATATTCAAACCAAAAAACAAGAACAACAACATATAAAGATAACAATGAAGCTACAAGAAACACACACCTGTGGACAAAACAAGCGATTATACTGTCCAGCAATACAAGAATCGTTGCCAATTATCCGAACAAGCTCCAATTTCTGCTTTACTTCTCAAGTTTCAAATTACTATCAATGCCTCTCACCTTTTCTGTGAGCTCCACCTTATTATCTTATAAAACAAGAAGAACCCATCAAATTTGCGAAGTAATGAGAGCAAATAATGCATAATTTTGGGGAAAAGGAATTACCGGGGACGTGGGCTTGGCGAGACCAAACAGGGTTTAATCTTCTTCTGAGTAATGTTGGGAATGAAAAGTAACACCTGTGAATTATACCAAAGGGCATGTTTATTTTGTTTTACTGAGTTTGAAGCTTCAGCCTTTAACTCTTCTCTATCATATGAAAATGAGGAAGCTGTTTAGGAGATATGAATTGGTATGGTAATTTTGTGTTTTATGGGTGCTGTAGCTGTTTGGTAGCTCAAATTGGCCGCTTTGCAACCACATGTATGGCGGAGCTGTGGCCGCTAAAAAAAAATAATAAATCACATTAAACCAACGTAATTGTGAAATAGATAATGGAGAAAGGGAGAGGACAAAATGGACATTTCAAAACGAAATAGAAATTTATTAAATTAATTAGAAGTGAAAATTCTGAATTGAAAAAAATCAAAATTTAGAAATTTCTAAATTAAAAGCAATTATAAATTCAATACTTAAAAATAAAATAAAAAGAACAAAAACTCCTAATCCTTCACAACAATTTTAAAGTTTTTTTTTAAATTTAAGAAACTAAAATAAGAAATTCAAATATATATTTTAAAAAATGAGGGTATATATATATATATTAAATTAAATAAACTAGTAGAGTTTGTCTTTTTTTGATATTGAATTCTCCTTCAATTCAATAAACAAAAAGGCAATATCTTTATATTAACTACTACAGTTGCTGGTATTTTCTAAATTCTTCCTTCTTTTTCTTTTGTCTTCCTTCGTTCCTTTTGAATTCAAGTTTTCTTTGTCTCTATTCGTGCAGTAAATTTACGTAATGGCTTTGAGTTTATGGGATCAGTATTCTGATCTTCAGCATTATTTCAACCCGGAAATGTTCAGCTTCCAACACCCGCCAGTTGGAGAATTTGAGGACGACTTCGATTACTACTTCAACTTGTTCAGTTTCAGCAACAATGGTTTTGGTTTCGATTACGATTACGTTTCGGATAGTTTATCTGATCACAATTACAACCAGTTTTCATCTTTGTTAAACGATGATAATCAATTCTTTAACACCTCTGATCATCAATACTTCTCTTCTTCTTCTCTCTCGGATAATTCAGATAATTTCATCTTCCCTCTTGAAGACTTTGAGTGTTATCATACCTATCCGAAGCGCCAGAAGAGCTATTATGGAGATGGGGTTGACGTTGATCATCATTCGGTTACTTGTTCGCCTGAATTCTATTCCGGGTGCGTCTCAAACGTGATTAATCCTCCAGCACCACCACCTCTTTCTGAATTCCTGCCAGAGATTCCTACTCCTCCGCTGGCAGTTTTCAGTTTTAAGAACAGTAGTAGCACTGATCACGAGAGTAGCACAAAGAAACAAACTGGGGTGAGCTTGTCGACGCAAAGCATCGCGGCGCGACAGAGAAGAAGGAAGATTACGGAGAAGACTCAAGAGCTCGGAAAGCTGATTCCGGGCGGCCACAGAATGAACACAGCTCAAATGTTCCAAGCTGCTTCAAAATATGTCAAGTTTTTGCAGGCTCAAGTCAAAGTTCTTCAACTCATGGAGCCACTAATGCAGGTGAAAAAAAAAAAATTGTTTTCCAAAAACGTTTTCTATATTTTTGAAAACACTAAAAACAAAATTATGATCTATGTTTCAATATTTATGCACGCAGGAAAGAGAAGAATTTCTTCCATCTCAAGAGCTTCAAACTCTTCTTGAATCTCCAATAATTCAAGAAAAATTGTACTCAGAAGAGAAGTGTTTGGTTCCAAGAGAAATTCTTCAAACCCTGAAAAATGATCCTGAAATTCAATCAAAATCAGCCATTTTTTAGAGGATTGACCAGTTGCTGGAAACAAATAATGGCTGATTATTATTACGGATCATGTTAGTTTTATTTTTATATAATTTTTTTCCTGTTGTAGATATTGACCTAGATAGTAGTTAATTAACCCTTGATTTTTATTGTATTTGTAGGTATTAAACGAACCATTTTCTTGTAAAATTTTCTTTTCCAGGAAATGGAATATTAGTGTTTTGGTTTTTTTGTCAATTTTAGTTTGATTATTGCCGTAATTTAGACATTAATATGTAATTATTTAATGACAAGGAGATTAGTTAATTAATTTCTTGGCGGCCACTCCAAGATTAAGTTGTAAACAAGATGAATATGTTTCCTAATTTTATGGGTTTAGTTTTGTAATTATTTTATTGGTAGTTAAATATAAATTAATGAATTAAAATTTTAAATAAATTCCTAATATATAATATATATTTGGACAGATAATGTTAATAGAGTAGTGTACTAATAATTCATATATAGAAATTTTGAATCAATGAAAATGATTCCATGTCTAAATTATGCTAATCTATTATGATAAAATTTAAAGATTTTATGAAATATAATATGCAATGTAGAAAATGTAATAATTAAAAATTTAAGTAAGGATAAATAATGTTAATAGAGTAGTGTACTAATAATTCATATATAGAAATTTTGAATCAATGAAAATGATTCCATGTCTAAATTATGCTAATCTATTATGATAAAATTTAAAGATTTTATGAAATATAATATGCAATGTAGAAAATGTAATAATTAAAAATTTAAGTAAGGATAAATAATGTTAATAGAGTAGTGTACTAATAATTCATATATAGAAATTTTGAATCAATGAAAATGATTCCATGTCTAAATTATGCTAATCTATTATGATAAAATTTGAAGATTTTATGAAATATAATATGCAATGTAGAAAATGTAATAATTAAAAATTTAAGTAAGGATAAATAATGTTAATAGAGTAGTGTACTAATAATTCATATATAGAAATTTTGAATCAACGGAAATGATTCCATGTCTAAATTATGCTAATCTATTATGATAAAATTTAAAGATGTTATGAAATATAATATGCAATGTAGAAAATGTAATAATTAAAAATTTAAGTAAGGATAAATAATATGCAAGCAACAGGTAGGTAGTCGCCATAATCCAAAACGGTTTCTTCTCTAATTCGTTAGTTAATTTTATAAATATATATCTTGATATTAAGTTCTCCTTCCATTCAACAAACAAAAAGACAATATCTGCAAATTTATCTTCTACAGTTTCAAGTATTTTCTAAATGTCTCTCTTTCTTGTGTCTTCTTCATTTGTTTGACTTCATTCAAGTTTTTTTTGTCTTTGTTCGTGTAGTTAATTTACGTAATGGCTTTGAGGTTATGGGATCAGTATTCTGATCTTCAAAATTATTTTAACCCTGAAATGTTCAGTTTCCATCACCCGGTAGCTGGAGAATTCGAGGACGGCTTCGATTACTACTTCAATTTGTTCAGTTTCAGGGTCTAACGTGAAAAAAAAAATGGTTTTCTAGTAGAAAAGGAAGAATGAAATTGGAGAAGGATCCGTTTCCTTGTAATAACGGGATTTATTTATAAGTTAAAAGAGTTTGATTAGGACCTAATAACATACTCTATACTTATATAAACTCGGAGACACGTTCATTAACGCTAAGCCTAGTCATGGTATTTCAATTAATACATGGACAAATTTAAAAGAAATTTTCTAAATGAATGTATCTAAAACCACTCTTTTTTTTCCAAGTGGAATACATTGTGAGAAAATTTCATAAATATAATAGAATATATCAAGCAGAAAAGTGAATTGCAATTGAAGAAGGATACGTTTATAATAATTTGGTTATTTTTGTATTTAGTTTAACTAAACTAAAAAAATATAGTTAACAAGAAACTAACAAAAACATTCCTGGTATGAAAGAAAGAAAGAAACAGGCAACAGGCAAGTTCACAACGTGATGAGTTCCAAATAAAGCACAACAAACACTTGAACTGTTAGTCTGTAATCCCAAAAGAAACTTATTATATGTACTGTAGGAATTAATGTAAAGAAAGATCTTGAAAAAAAAACAATAAAAAAGGATTATCAAATACTAACCAGAAGACCATCATATCAACGAACAGTATCTGCACTGCATCAATCTTTCTAATTCACTTTTTAGTACATGCAAATCTTGTATTATCGCTCAACGCTTTTTCAATGGCACTTATTTGTAAGTCTTTCACATTGGGCCACACCATCCTTATTGCTTTGTTGAAGTCCTCTATCTGAACACCGACCACTCCAAGAGTGTCCATTAGAAAATCTATCCTGTTCCCCCTCTTCAATGGATGTTCTCCAATTTCCTCGAAGAATCCAAGAATTGCCTCAAGAAATAGCCTCTGAGTGCCACTATCAGTCACCAAGTTATTAAGATAATCGTTGCTTCTAACGTTATCAAAGTGCATTTCACCAAGAATTATCTCTTTAACGTTTTTCCGTGGCTTGATTTTTTCTTCCTCAGTTGAGGCCTCGAGTAGTGGTCGCTTCCGTTTCTTGTCAACATCTTGCTTGTTGTGTGCCTGTTCTTCAACTTGTACGTGGTCTACCGTCATATCATTAGTGCTGTTCCCAGATAAAACCAATCTCGTGATCGGCTTCTGGTCAAGATCATTCATATCTTGTTCTTCTTCATCATCAAAGTCCAATACTAAATCAGCCAAACAAAACAATGCTTCAAGTTCTTGGGAATTATGTGAAATCGAATTCCTATTAGCCATTTTTCTGGAGAATGAAAGAATGAGAGGATTTAATGTGCTGAGAATTCTTGGAGCTTCAGTGACAGTTGGAATCTTGAAATTCTGTTACTCAAATTTAGTTGGGAGGATCTTAGGTCAAGTCCGTGTGTGTATTTAACAAATTTTTAATAACTCAACCCAATGGGCGAGTGAAGCCCATTTTAAATAGGATTTATCGGTCTGATGCAGCCCATACAGTAGGCCCATATATTATTTTTAATAATTTAATATAAACGTAAATTTATCAGCCCAAGATTCTAATTCTTTCAAATATCATTTTTTGTTATTAATGAAATTAATAAAATATAAAGTTAGGTTTGGACTCTATATATTTAAGGATGGATATTATCAATTTAGGGACATTTTTTTTCACGAAATGAAATAAAAATTAAAAAAGGAGACACAAGTCTCAATTTATTCAATTTAGAGACACTAAAATAGTATCTTTGTTCAATTCATGGACAAAACGAACACAAGTTTCAAATTGTTCAATTTAGATTTTAGAGACACGAAATAGTAACTTAGTTCAATTTATGAGTACTTACGATTAATTGTAGTTACATTTAATAGGAAACAGGGTAAATTAGTAATTGTATAAGTTATAAAAAAAATAAAAAAAAAAGTCTACTACAATAATTTTATTCAATAAGATATTGACTCGTGTCCAAAAATTAAAAAAATAAAGAAAAGTTGTTGGCCATCCTCTCAAGCCAACGGTGTAACCGGTAGGAGCTAACGTTGTTAGACAAGATCTAGCCCGACGTGGCTAGATCCAAGCCGTCGCTCTAGAATGGCGTCAATCCTACCATAGCTAGCTCGAGGCCACGTTAGAATGATTGGTTGCCTGACATGGCCTGGATTTGGCCAAGTCGGGCCAGATGCTGGCCAGCGATTTTGGCATGAGGACAAGCCAATGGCTTTTCCTTTTTTATTTATTTTGATTCTATGTTTTTAATTTGTTTTTTAAGTTTTCAAATTATGGTTGTCCTTTATTTTATGAAGAAAAAAATGTCATTTTTTTTTTTAAATTTTAAAACCGGTTTTTCTCTTCTTTATTATTATGTCTTTTCATATATTATTATTTAAATATTAAAAATTTGAAATCAAACAAATTTTTAACATATTTTTTTAGTTTTTAAATTTTAAATTGAAGACTAAAACCAATCAAATAATTAGGGGTATTTAAGTCTTTTTGTTGTTTTTTTGTTAAAATTAATATCAAATGTGCCTAGGTTGAGCAAAATTACTACTTACTGTCCTTAAATTGAACAAATTGAAACTTGTATTCATTTTGTCCCTAAATTGGGCAAAGTCACTATTTTACTATTAAACAAATTGAAACTTGTGCCCTTTTTAGTGTTTCATGAAAAAGTTGTACCTAAATTGATAATATCCCATTTGAGAATGACAAAATCATTTTTAATTAATTTAGTTCATTGTTTAATTTCGGGTTTATTTTACGGGAAATAATACAGTTATCGAAGGATGCACATCGAATTGATGTACTGAATGACGTGACGCAATCCTAATCATCTATTAATCTTAATTAAATATTAATCGATGATCAAGATTTTATCACGTCATTTAGTGCACATCCTTCAATGACAATAGCATTCCATTTACTTTAACACTCACAGAACTGAAACATGAGCCAATCCCTCGTTTACTTAGACACGACACCGTTTAAGCCACATCCTTTATTTCTGCTTGCTACGTTATCCAGATAATCATCTTCTCGCAAGACACTGCTCACAGTGAAACTCACGTTGTGGAAGAAGAAGAGGAAGTGAAATTGGCAGCAATGGCTGCACTTCAAAGCTCAATGACGTCTCTTTCAATCTCCTCCAACTCCTTCTTTGGTCAACGCCTCTATTTTCCATCTCTCTCTCCTATCACTGTAAGTTATCTTCTCTGAATTTCATCGTGTAATTAACAAAACAAAATAATAATTTTTTCATTGAATCAACTAAAATTTTGATCTTTCTGTTCTATCTTGATTCTGTGTCTGGTTTATTGAACTGGGTCTGTTACAAACTGGAGTAACTATGTGTTCTGATTGAAGCACATTTTTGTACTTGAAAAAGGAATTAAAAGAATACACATCTTAGTGTTCGATGAACATTATGATTTGGTTTGTTATCATACACTAGTTACACTTTACATATATTTGTTGCATAATATGGTGTAACTATTCTGTATTTGTTTTAATTATATATCAAGTTGGAATTTGCAAACTTGTTTAATGTTTCATTTGGGGCTCCAAATTGGTTGTGTTCTTGTATTCTAGTTCCTTGTTGGTTATGTTTTAGAGTTGCATTTGAAGTAAAGATTTTATTTTGTTTCCCTATTTTGGTTATTTATGGGACATGTGAAGTGGCTCTTGCCCTTTTCCAGATTGTTTTGGTCGGCTATTGTAGTTTGGAAGTAGAAACTCTGTTAAAATAGATGCTCAATTTCTGCTATCTTGATTTTCATTTTTGCCCCGAGTGAGAACATTTATGCATCGAACAATTTTTGCCTCTAGGGTTTGATAATGGTATTACTTGTTTTATGATGTTGTTTTTGGTCTTTTGCTTGCATTCCCGAGCTCTGGGCTTGATAATTGGATTGCTTTTTAAGATGGCAAGTTAGGTACTGAAAGTTAGTGTAACGGTTCAAATTAACGTCCACAATTCTGACTTTTATGTTCTTTCATCTCTTTTGATAATTTAGCCATATGAAGTGCTTGCTCAAAGATACTCTGCACTAACAGTCTGGTTAGCAAACAATCCTTTGCTAACCTCTTATACATTTTTGGTATCAGGATTTCTTATTTTTTAATTTTAAAGATCAAACCAATTGAAAGGAGTTTTAAATTCTTTAACTGCTTAATTTGTATATATGTACGGAGGGAAAACAACATGTTATCTACCAGTTAATGCTTCATTCACTAAATAAATTATGTGAGTTACTATGTGCTTGCTTGCAATCTAGATTCTAGGTATTTGTATGGTTTTATACTGTGATGATTGGGCTATGTGTTCAGGTCATTGATCTTATTAATTAGATGGAAACTGTGAGTATTTGATAAGAGCTCTTTGCTTGTATCATATGCAGGTCAAGCCAACAGACAAGCCATGTCTCATTGTAGCAAAGGTTGGTATTATGTGTCCTTTATCCTCTTGCCAGTTGTATTTTCGTTTCTTATGGATTGGAAAAAAAATGAAGCTCGTGAGAAGAAATGAAACAGGAAGTTCAGTGAACTGTGACACAACAATAGAGTGGAACTGGAACTGTAGCCATTTTATCACAAATCAAGATGTTGTAGAAGTCACTATAATTTTTATATGCCTTTAAATTTATTCTATTAATTGTCAGTATACCTGCCACTCAAACCATGTGTTGCAGTAGCTGCCATAGTAAGTGCATCTGATTTTCCCCAATGGGTTTGTGGTCTCTCACTAATGGTGATTAGATTGGGTTCTTAAAACATGAGCTTCTGGTGAGCAACATAAGGGTCTACAACTTGGGGCTCATCGCCGTGAAAGTTATCTTACCATTCTAATAGGCAATTTTGTTGGACATGATATAGTTATTACCTCATGTCGCTCATGGGGTTGTTCTATATTTTGTTTAATGTCCATATTTTTGCTTCCTCATGCAGCTTAAGCACTGGGAACGAAAGGATTGTAAACCAAACAGCCTTCCAGTTCTACACAAAATGCATGTTAAGTTAGGAGATATGGTTAAAGTCATAGCTGGAAATGATAAAGGTAAAACAGGAGAGATTACTAAGGTGTTTAAGCATAACAGCACAGTGATAGTCAAAGATATAAACCTCAAGACAAAGCATGTGAAGAAAAAAGAAGAGGACGAACAAGGGCAGATTATTAAGGTTGTTTAACTGATTAACTTTTTCTATGCTTGAACCTTTAATCCTATTTAAAATTTTCTTATGCTTCATTTGGCACACTATTGGAACAAGTGAGCACTATATAATAGTTTATGAAGATTTTGAATTATGCTGTTAGCATTTATTTGTAATTGTTATTGATTGTGTACATATATGCAGTTTCTTGTGCTAGTAGTGTTTAGTAACGAACAAAAAGTATGGTTTTACAGATTGAAGCACCTATTCACAGCTCGAATGTGATGCTATATTCAAAAGAACAGGATGTAGCAAGCCGGGTGGGTCATAAAGTCCTCGATGATGGAACACGAGTCCGCTATCTTATAAAAACTGGAGAGATTATTGACAGTACAGAAAACTGGAAGAAACTGAAGGAAGCCAAAAGCAAAGAGAAAACTGAAGTTGCTGCTGCTTCATAAGAGTCCCTAACTCCCCTTAATGTATCTTTTGAAAATCTGAATATATATTTGTTATTGGTCCTTTCGTTTCAGATACAGTGTCCTTGTTGATTCTTACTTCATCAGAGCTAAGTAATTTTTTAGTTCCTCTGATAGCAAAACATGATTTATAGCCAAAGTTGTTTTATAATTGTACTTCATTGAAGCACCATGTAATAGTTGTGCCATTTTCCCAGACTTACGGTTTTCTTGCACTGAAATTGAGCTTCCACGGATTGTCAGGTTTTGTGAGTTTGTTTACATATTGGTCACAAATAAATTTTTTTATTTGAAATCGAAGGTTTTGATATTCAAAAAATAAATATGTAAAAGATTAAAAAAAAAACTGCCCGGAAACTCCAGTGAGGTAATAATATGGTAGAATCAACAGTAACAGAAGGAAAAGTAACAGCACCACATGTATGTGAAATGTTTTCCTAAACCTCAATGATGAATGGACTTCAACTGTACAGAGGAGGGTGCGTTTGATTTATTATTTTGGGTAGGATCTTGGGGATAGTATTGGATAGTTGAATAGGGGAGTATTACGAGATAAAATTTAAAAATTTATGAAAAAGCCCACAAGGTTTGCTAATTTAATAAACACCCCAATATATTAAAATATTTTGAAATGACAAAAACACCCCTAACACCCAAAGTGCCAGATTCTGGCCACCACCGTCGAAATCTGGCCAGAAAATTGGATAACCACAAAATCCGGTCGGATCTGGCAGGTATTCGATCGATATGGCCTTTTCCGACCATATCCACCACGGATCTAGCCGAAAAAAGCCAGATCTAAGGCCAGATGTGGCCTTCGACGACCGAAAAAGGCGGCCAAAGATATGGCTATCGTTGACGGCTAGATCTGGCCTTTTTCAGCCAGATCTGTGGCGGATCTGGTCAGAAAAGGCCAGATCTGGCCATTACCGGTCATTTCCGGTGGTCGTGTGACTGTTGTGACAGATTCCGGCTACGACCGGTGGTGGTTGTCGGAATCTGACAAGTATTGTGGGTGGGGGTGTTTCTGTTAGTTTTTAAACTTTTTTTCTGGGGGGTATTTAGAGATTAATAAACTTATGGAGTCTAAAAGTAATTAAAAAATAGACTAATATTTTGAGAATAACGTGCCAAACAATATTTGAATAATAAGATTGGGAATATGGATAAAAACAATAAGCCAAACGGGCACCCAACACTATCACCAGAATCAAAATATGAACAGTTTTGTTCTTGATGCTAAAGTACAGTTTGTCACAAAATCTGCGCATTCATAGCCTCTTTTCTATTTTGTTTGTATATACAACAACTTAAGGTTGTATTATCACCATTTTTCTGCCGTCATCTTCTGCAACATTTCTACTCATCATGCTGATCCACTCTCTAATACTAGTATTGAACTTTCTAGTTATTCTCTTCTTTTTTCTTTTTCTCTCTTTTTTTTTTCCCCATCAATTGAATAGTGAAAAGAGATGTCCTGTCAAATGATATAAAGTTACACCGCAATGCACTATGCGGCATTTCCCATTACTATCTTAGCCGAAATTTATGGTTTTCTTTCAAAGAAATCAAATAACAATTGGATTAGTGTAATCTGCGTTCCACTAATCAGATAGAGAATCAAACATCTGTCAACCATGCATTCGCTACAACAAATAGCCTTTTTATCTCTTCTTCTTCATGTAGACCTACATGCATTCCTTATTCTGAAAAAGGTCCAAAGACCAAATATAATATACATCACGCTGCCAATATTTTATGCATAAAAGAAATGTTGTCTTATCATGCATTTTTTTTTTTACTATAACACTATACTTACAAATCTTACAAAGTTTTAAATAAAGTGGTAAAAAATGAATGAATGAATGAATTAAAAAGTTAAACTTATTAAATTCACTCTTCCATTCATATTTTACTACATCACTTTGTATGAAAATTTTTATAAAATTTATTTGTAAGTGTATTATTACTTTTTTTTTTTTCATGAACCTGTTAACAGATAACAGTTGTAATACATACAATAAAGAATGAAAAAACAATTATATCCCGCTGGAAAGAAAGACCTCGTGATGTTGCACAGTTTCATATATTCTATGAATTATTTATAGCCCGTTGGAAAGAAAATTCTCGTGATGTTGCACAGTTTCATCTATTCTATGAATTATATATTGATTGAGTACAGTAAGAAGTGCGTTTTTGTTAAGCAGCAGAAAAGACCAGTTGCAGAAGATGGAGGATTTAGTTAGCATGGAGGAGTGCAAAAGAGAGGGAGATAAGACTTATTGTGTCACCGGAGCCACTGGCTATATTGGGTCCTGGTTGGTCAAATCACTTCTTGAAAAAGGGTGCATAGTTCATGCCACAGTCCGAGATCCAGGTTAATTCTTTACTTTAGTTTCTGAATATATACGAGTTTACATATTTATATTTTGGAGGGGATTTAGAGTAAAAGAAAAAGTGGGAGTTTTTTCTTCAATAGTTGACTAGCCAGTTAAGGATAATAAACTAAAGGGAAGAGATATCATTTAACAAACTCTTAATTTGGTGACTTTCGAGACTAAAATTTTGAAAAGTTGATTATTTACTGAAATAAAAAGGTTTCTTTTAAAATCCTCACTTCAATTCAGTATTTGGTTAAAATTATTGTTTTTAGAAAAGATGCTTTTTATAAGAGAATCTAAGATCTAAAAAGGCTCCTTTTCTGTAAAATACTCCGAAGTATTTTTATTTCGCCCTTTCAAGAAAACATTGTAAAAAATAGATATAAAAACGTTTTTAATTATTAAAAAAAAAAAAAAACAATTTTCATAATAGTAATACAATAATACTTCCTTTGAGAATTTTCAAGAATAGAAATCTTCAAGAAAATTCGCTGATAGAAACTCCACTATTTGAACCACCATACAGGTTTCATGTTTTTTTTATTTTTTTAATAATGGCGTTGTTGGTTGCGCACCTCAACTAATCCCGAGGCTCACCCTTAACCACCCGGCTAAATTCAGCACAAAATATTTTAATTCAGTTTCCTTAGACAAATCTTTTGGCAGAATGTAGTTTATTTGCTCTACTGAATTCAACTAAACTACTCAATTAATAATATTTGGGGCATTAAAGCCACACATTGCATATTAAAAACATCTTTCATTTCTGTGATCAATTTAAGTTGACTGAAATAATACTTAATTTTACAGCAAAAGTATTGCGCTTTCTGTCACTGTGGACCGGTTGTGACCGATTAAGATTGTTCCAAGCTGATCTTCATGTAGAAGGGAGCTTTGACGATGCTGTTAAAGGCTGTGATTATGTATTTCATGTAGCAGCTTCAATGGAATTTGACATCCCTGAAAAACAGAACATTGGTAATACCTATGTATCCTGGTTAAATTGGTTCATTAATTCAGTGTAGAAATTAAGAGTAATTGACGCCTATTTTCTTCTTTCTTGAGCTTGAAGAAACTTATGTTCAATCAAATATTATCGACCCTGCAATCAGAGGTACATTAAACCTCCTCAAAGCTTGCTTGAAATCTGAATCAGTGAAAAGGGTTGTTTTAACATCCTCCATTAGTACAATTACCGCCAAAGACAGTGGTGGAAAATGGAGGTCAGTGGTTGATGAATCTTGCCAGAGTCCCATTGACCATGTCTGGAGTACAAAAGCAAGTGGATGGGTAAAATTTTTGCCTATCTCCTAAAGGTCGGTCCATATTTAACTCTTCAATCTTCTGAATAATTAAAGCACAGTTCACTGTCTCAGGTGTATGTACTCTCCAAGCTTTTGACCGAGGAAGCAGCATTCGAATTTGCAAAGGAAAATAACATTGATCTTGTTTCAGTAATTACAAGTACCGTTGCTGGACCATTTCTAACTTCAAGTGTTCCATCTAGCATTCGCGTCCTCTTATCACCAATAACAGGTTCATTTTGTACATCCAGTAACTCTTCAATCAAAAAAATTGTTGAATTGTTCACAAAATAAAAGATGTGACCGAAATGATTCTGCTTATAATGCATCAGACTAGCTAGATGCTGCATATTCCCTGTTAGGAAATGCAAGTATGCATACACATGAGATGAAAACATAATAACAAGTAAACTCTGGCTACTTCTATAGGTGACTCCAAGTTCTTTTCAATACTGTCTGCTGTCAATACCAGAATGAGATCAGTTGCTTTGGTTCACATTGAAGATATATGCAGTGCACACATATTTCTGATGGACAATGCCAGAGCAGAAGGTCGATACATGTGCTGTGCCAAGAGTTGTCTAATGTCTGAATTGGTCGAGCATCTCAACCGAGTGTACCCTTCCTCAAATTTGCACAAGTAAGTTTCTCTTATTTTATTAAATGCATAAACAAACAATCATACAGGAATTATGTGATCTGCGACATTGATTTTTCACTATGTTCCCAGGATTAAGGGGGGGAATCACAGTTTAGTACCTTCTGAGATTTCATCAAAGAAGATAAAAGATTTGGGTTTTACTTACAAGCATGGCATAGAAGATATCATTTGTCAAACAATAGCCTGTTGCATGGATTGCGGCTTTCTTTCTCCCATTATAAAGTGAAGTTAGGTGCTACTGTTGATTAAGATAAACTAAAATTCAATGGACTAAGCTAGGAGAATAAATGCAAGCAGAAATAAATGAGAGAAAATTCAAACGATTTAAACCATTCTTCATGTTTGGTACATGTTGTTTTCTCACCATTCATAGATGTCATTACTATTATGAAGAAGAGATCTAATCAAAGACAGAATGGAAACTTGACCTTCAGTTTTGATCTGATTTAAGGCGTCAACAGCGGCGCCAAATTATCTAGATTTCATGCCAATATGAATCAACAAGTCTACTGTAGTTGTTTATCTTCAAAACACATTAATTTTTAATGTTAGACCTTGTTCAAATCTACGTTCAACAATTAAATGGTAGCGAGATATGGTACAATTAGTAGATGCTAATTAACCTAGGTGGACTACGGAGCCTAAACAAGCTAAATATTTACTTTATTCTGTAGAACTAAAGAATCTAGCAAGAACTATGAAATAATTTTGGGGGATGAGGTCATTGCAAAGGGTATAATCAATCTATGCATACAGTTTTTATGCAATTGATATATACTTTCTCAACTAACTGAATGAGCTTTAATGGCATCTTTTTGTCCAATATTATTATGCTAGAGCCTATACTTTAGTTCCATAAATTTCTCAACATTCCTTTAAAATAAAAAAAATAAATTAAAGTGCACCAAAAGCTTAGTGCTAATTGGGTTTATTTACAAGTGCTCTACAAAGAAGGGTAACTAAGATATTCTAGCTTATCCAGTTGATCTATTCAAGAAAACAAGCTACAAACTGGGTAATAAAATTATGTTTATACTCTCTTTATTCTCTAAATTCAGTTTTTACCTTCTTTTCTGCAATAGTTTGGTTTCTCCAACTTCTTCTAAGTTAATTCTGCAGAAAATATTTTAGAAAATTAGTGTGTAATGGTTTCCCTAATGACTCAGAAGGTAAACATAATCAGAAGTTTAGCAGAGCAAGTGGCAGCCCACCAGACTGAAGAGTCTAAATCAAGAGGCCATGGCCAACTGCAGTAAATATCTTCATCTGCCTCCAAACAACCCCCATCCGAACATTTAAGACAAAAAATTGAAATACTGAATTCTCCATTCAATTTTTGAATTCATAATTCAGAAAAGTAATGAGGGTTAGTACACATTTATGGGGCACATGTGCCAGAAGAGCATTAAGAGCTAGCTGTACAGTACAGACATTGCAGTTAGAAAATGAAATGATTAACCTAGAGTTCCAGAGCCAGATAGATGATGTAAAAGACTCTTTCTAAAGTGACCAATAAAAGTTATTTAATTTCAAGATATTGAACATACTTGATTTTTGTCCTCTTGTTTGGACTACTCTTTGTTTGATTCAGCACCCTCAAACCAGGACCACCTGCCTTTTTCATGCTGAATATGGCCATTGGACATTAATTATGTTAATTATATTCACTAAAAAACACCAAAATTATTAGAAGAGTCTTATACTGTTGATTGTTTAGTTTTGTGAAAGGTAATTGGAAACTAATCACGATTTAGTTAATTAATTTAATTGTTCTCTTACCCTATCTGTAAGATCTATGAAGCATAAAGTAGCATCTATCAACAGGTTTAACAGGTTTTTGTTCTGGCCCCCACTCATAGTGAAGCCTTCACATTTTGCACATTTGATCACATCAGCATGGCAATTACAATATGCACTTCATGTGAAGAAATCTGTTCCCAAATCCTGAATTTGTCATTATCTGAAGTTTTAAATATATAGAATGGAAAATTAAAGCAAATAAAGGGACTATACATAACTCTGTTTGCATCAACAAAAACACAAGCCTTAAATGAAGAGGAACAAATACAAATAGTATTAGTTGGGCTAGTGCTAGGCAAATACAATTAAAACTGAGATGCACAAATCAGATATTTTGGCAATTGATTAGACGCTAGAAAGAAAAATCAAAATCCTTCCAGAGAGAAGGTAAAAAAAAAAAAAAAAAAAAACACTCTACCAAAAGGCAAAAAAGAGCAGAAAGCATTCACATCTCTTGATAACTATAATGTAAGCAGTTATTTTTCTTTCTTTCTTTCATCAGGTTTTGCAGATTACCACAAAGCAAGGAAGGAGAGCTCTAGGATTGAGCAGATAGAGCTCCTCAATATTTGCGTAGAGGCCAACTTTCCCAGCCAATGAATCAAACCCAGTTTGGCCAGCCATTTCTTGTATGTTCTCCAATGGTCTATGAACCCTCCCAGCAATGACTCTGCATACCATCAGAGCTTTCCTTATAGATGGATCATTGTCGATAATTTCAATAGATTCATAAGCTCTTCCACTTGTTGATGTCGTAAATACACCTATTCCACCTTTGAGTTCCTTCTTGGCTGAGAAACCATGTCTAATAATTCGACAGACACAACATTTTTCTGATATGCATAAACTTGAGCAACCATTTAGGCCAAGAGAGCATGCCACAGTTGTACCATAAAACCTCAAGAGCTCATTCCCATCGGCAATGCACCGAGGGTGTTTCTTGGGGAGTTTGCTGGCTTTAATCTTTACCATTTCTCTATACTCTTCAAATCGAGCAAGAGTTTTTTGCATGTTATGAACTTTCAAGACTCTCTCTATCCTACCACAATGGTTCTCAGACTTTAACCAGCTTGTCCGGCATATGATTTCAACAATTTTCCTTGATGAATCGCCTTCGACGAGTTCAGTAACTGTCAGAAGAGAGAAAAATTAGCTGCTGAAGAAAAGTTACTAAAATTTTCCAACCCAGATTAAAGAAAAAAACCCCAAAGATAAAGCAAATCCAGACATTTAGGAAATTACTGAATCCAATATGCAGGAGATTGCATATTAAAAGTAGCAAAAAGTTAGAATTTTATTCTTTTGATAAGTTTTACTTTACTTCTGGGTTTATGTGATTAACATATTGTCAAAGAAAAAGAACCTGAAAGCTTTTCATTTTCTGAAAAGAATTTGCAGGAGAATCTTCATTCTAGGAGAAAGAAGTGTATCTTTTAGCCTAAAAGTGAAAGTGTACAAGCAGGAATCTGTGTTTATTGAAAGTACTCCCTGGATTTTGTGGTCAGAGACGTGGGTGACTTTAACAAAATCAGGATAACAGAACAACGGATGCAAAACAAACTCAAGAGATGCTTTTGCCAAAGCCACTAATGAAAAGAAAACCAAAATTATTTGGAATAACTAAAAATGAAGACAGCAACCACGATCAAGATAAACCAAAAAACTTGAAAATACAAGCAAAAGTTTCTCACCAGCATGCTTGGAAAGATGATGTGCTTCAGCGGCTTCCCATTTGGTAAACTGCTCTCCACATTTATGGCAAGTCACTGTAGAACATCCATTGGAATCAATGTCAAGAGAAACTCTGTTGCTTGAATGAACAGCACCATGATGAACATTAGAAACCCCAAATCCAGACCCCTCTTTATCTGACGAAAGAAAAGGAGTCTTTCTTGGAGGAGTTGATGCAGTCACAAAAGAAGGATTAAGATAATGCATAGTTGAGTGGCCTCCAGGTCCTGGTGTCCCAGGCCTTAAAGTACCCACAAAAGTTGACCCACCACCACCACCATTACCACCACCGTAACCACCACCATTACCACCACCGTAACCACCACCATTGCCGCCACCGCCACCGCCACCTCCAACCCCTTCATGGAACCCACCAAACCCAGTAATCTTCAGCTCACACCTTGAGTTACTCAGTATAACTTCATGAGTTATTGGGTTAAGAAACTCACTGCTTCCTATGGATCTTGGGCTGCAACTTGGTGGCTTCTCTAAGTGTCTCTTGCTTCCATGAATAACATCTTTTAGATTTGCTATAGACCTTGAACAACCTGACCTCCCTGCTTTTCTTATCAAGATTGTACTCAAATGCTTCCTAGATTTTGGGTCATGAACTTCTGATGGCTCTGATTTGCAATGCAAAGATTTCTTCAAAGAGAACCACACTGTTGGCATATTTGCTTCTTCAACTTCAAAAAACTTCACAACTCTTCACAGTAACTCTCTTTCATTTTCATTTCTCAAAAGCAACCCACTTCCCATTTCCATCTTCTTCACTTTTTTTCACCATGAAAGCTAAAAAGTTGAGACTGAATATACTTTCCCTGCAACTTGCTTCTCATTTTCTGAAACAAACCTCCACTTACAAGTACTATGCTCTTGTAAGCAATCCAAAATAAGAGTTATCAAACCATCATCACATGAAACTTTTAGGACTTTACTAGAAAAATGTGTGTACATGGAAGAAAAGGAGAAAGAGAGAAAGAGACAAATTAACTCAAAGCCAAAAACAAGAAGAGAGACCATTATAAAGAAAAGAAAAAAAAAAAAGCAAAAAAGATTAAATATGAAATGGAGAATCTTTGGCTCTCAGGGAACAGACAAAAAATCTGAAAGAACCATGTTCACTGGCTCTAATAAATGTTAGTTACTGAGCAAGAAAACACACTGAGAAAGACATTAAGAAAGAGACCTTTCTAATTTTCTATATCATTTCATATTGAATTTTCCATTCAACTTCAGTTCTGTTACTGGTTTTGAAGCTATTTATTAAAAAAAAAAAAATCCATCCATGTTCCCCAAAAAAAATAAAACAGAGAAGTTTTTGATTAACTTTAAAAAAATATATATATATATATATATCTATATATTCGATAAAAATCAAATTAAGAAGATTGGGGTAATTTCTTTTAATAATTATTAGAATACGTTTGAAAGTTGGTTACAGTTAAGTATAGTAAAATAGTACCCCAATATATGCGAACATGTTATAATATGGAAGAACAATTTTTAATGGCCTTAATTAACAGAGATTAATTAATGAATGTGGCCATATTAAGATGTTTCTTAGTCTTAACCAAGGCAATATTAAACAATTAATTTGAAAAAATTAATATAATTAAAGGAGTCTATGTTATCAGAAATGGGTGCCCAATAGGGGTGAGCACGGGTAGCGGGTAGAACCAACCGGGGTAAGAACCGAACCGGAACCGGAACCTACCCAGAACCTGCACTGTGCGGGTAGGTTCCGGTTCCAATTTTTTGGAACCGCTACTGTGCGTTCCGGTTCCGGTTCTTACCCCCGAGGAACCGAACCGGAACCGGAACCTGTAAAAAGGGTACCCTGTTTGGAACCTGTAGGGGTACCCCATTTGGAACCTGTTTGGAACCTGTTTTGGAACCTGATTTGAAACTGTTTGGAACCTGTTTTGGAACCTGTTTTGGAACCTGTTTGAACCCGTTTTGAACCTATATTGGAACCGTTTTGGAACCTGTTTAGAACTATTTTGGAACCTGGACTAAATGAAATTTTGTGAAATGTAAATAATGGGGGAGTTTCTATTATTTTACATATAAAAAATTTAAAATAGAAAAGTTAAATTTTAGAATAACCTAATTAAATAAATATCGATACATTATACTTATTACATATAATTACACCATATTAAAAGCTTTATATTTATAATACATTAATATTAAAGTTTTGATCAATTAAGTGAATAATTGGAATTATGATCCAATTAAAGTGTTTTACATTTTTAATGTTATTAAAAGAATATTTTTGAATAAAATAGTATTATTTGATTGAGTAATAATATATTTAGTTATTTACTTCAATTATCAAGTTCTAATTATATCTATAATATTATTAATTATTATTATATATGATAAATTGATAAACATTAATAAATTTAATTACTAGTTAATATCATACTTAATCAATTATAACATTACATTATAGTTAAATGATTACTTATAATTATAATTTATAACATTACTTAATTGATTTATAGTATAATTATTATATCATTACATTATTGATACTACTTAATTATTGACTTTATTATAAACATTAGTACAAACTTAATTAAAGGATTAAAATTTAATTAATTATAATATACTTAAAATTTATAGTATGATTATTTAATAGTTAATTTATTATAACATTACATTATAGTATGTATTAATTAATTATAACATTACATAATTAAATAATTACTTAATTGATTATAGTTATGATATTATGTTTTAAACATTAGTAATTACTAATTTGCTACATAAACATTAGCACAATACTTATTAAATGTAAAATTTATAATTATAACATTACCTTAAACTTTCATTATAAACATTATTAAACATTACATTATAGTTAAATATTACTCAATTAAATTATAATATTATTATATTACATTATAATTATGATCACTTACTTATTATAGCATTACATAGTTAAATGATTACATAATTACATAATTAGTTATGAATTATAACATTACATTATAAACTTAGTAATTTACTAATTTACTATATTATACATTACTAATTAAACGATTAAAATTTTAATTAATTATAACATTACCTTATATATTTATAATATAATTACTTAATCAATTATAACATTCATTATAAACATTAGTATATTATCAAATGATTTGAAATTTATTAATTATAATATTAAATTAAGATTTATAGTATGATATTTATTCATTATAACATACATATACTATATAGTATGATCATAAATAATATAACATACATATTAAATAATTACTTAATTGATTATGAGTTTATATTATATTTTAACATTAGTAATTATAATTTCCTACATAACATTACACAATACTTATTGAATGATAAGAAATTTAATTAATTATAACATTATCTTATAAACATTTCATTAAACATTAATTAAGCATTACTTATAGTTAAATAATTACTTAATTAAATTATATATTATTATATTACATTATATTATGATTACTTACTTAATTATAGCATTATATAGTTAAATGATTACATAACTTATTAGTTATGAATTTTATAACATTACATTATAAACATTAGCAATTTACTATATTATTACATTACTTAATTAAACGATTAAAAATTTAATTAATTATAACATTACTTTATATATTGTAATATGATTACTTAATCAATTATACATTCCATTATAAACATTAGTATATTATTAAATGATTTGAAATTTATTAATTATATATTAAATTATAGATTTGTAGTATGATTACTTTATTCATTATAACATTACATTATACATTTATAGTATGACATATAATTATATAATTACATAATAAATAATTACTTAATTGATTATGAGTTATGATATTATATTTTAACACTTAGTAATTACTAATTTACTTCATAAACATTACGCCAATACTTAATTAAATGATAAGAAATTTAATTAATTATAACATTACCTTATAAACATTAATTAAGCATTACATTATATTAAATAATTACTCAATTAAATTATAATATTATATATTATTTATATATTATCACTTACTTAATTATAGCATTATATAGTTAAATGATTACATAAACTTATTAGTTTGATTTATAACATTACATATAACTTAGTAATCTATTATACTATTACATTACTTAATTAAACGATAAAATTCAATTAATATAACATTACTTTATATATTTGTAATATGATTCTTAATCAATTATAACATTCCATTATAACTTAGTATATTAATTAAATGATTTGAAATTTAATTAATTATAATATTAAATTATAGATTTGTAGTATGATTTATTCATTATAACATTACATTATACTATTATAGTATGATCATATAATTAATATAACATTACTAATTAAATAATTACTTAATTGATTATGAGTTATGTATTATATTTTAAACATTAGTAATTACTAATTTACTACTAAACATTAGCACAATACTTAATTAATGAGAAAATTTATTAATTATAACATTACTATAAATTAATTAGCATTACATTATAGTTAAATAATTACTCAATTAAATTTAATATTTTATATTACATTATTTATAATCACTTACTTATTAGCATATATAGTTAAATGATTACATAATTACTTAATTAGTTGAATTATAAACATTACATTATAACTTAGTAATTTACTATACTACATTATTCTTAAAACGATTAAAATTTTAATTAATTAACATTACTTTATATATTTGTATATGATTACTTAATCAATTATAACATTCCATTATAACATTAGTATATAATTAAATGATTTGAATTTAATTAATTATAATATTATTATGATTTGTAGTATGATTACTTTATTCATTATACATTACATTATACTATTATAATATGATCATATAATTAATATAACATTACATAATTAAATGATTACTTATTGATTATGACATTATATTATAACATTAGTAATTTACTAATTTGCACAATATTTAATCGATTATTATAATTTTATTAATATAACATATATAAAATTTATGTATGATATTAATTAATTATAACATTCTATTATAAACAATATTATAACTAATAAATGTTAAACAATTTAATTATTATAATATTACATTATAATTATAATATTTACTTAATTAATTATACATTACAATTTCCATGTAGTATGATCACTTAATTAATTATAACATTACATTTACATTGTAGTAGGTTCACTTATTTAATTATAACATTACTTGTTTCTAATATTAAATTTACTAAATTATTTGGTATATTATAAATACCCAATTAACCAATTATAACATTAAATTATAAATTTATAAACATTAATAATTTATTAACTTATCAATAGACCCTTGGCAAATGGCAATGTTAGTAATTAGTATTAAGAATTGTTGTTTGTTTAAATGATTTTAGTGAAGTTATTTTATGTGAATTGTGTGTGATAATTGTTTGTGTTTTGGTTTTGATTGACGAATTTTATGTAATTGTGATGAATTGGTTGAATTCAAGCGTTGCTTAGAGATTACAGGTTATGAGTTACATTGGACACAATGAATGAACTACGAAAATTTGTTGAGGGGTTATTTGTAAACTTATAAGGTGTTTTTGTTATTTTTAAACTATAGGGGAGGTAATTGATTTTTTACAGGGTACCCTGGAAAGGAACCGGAACCTGCATTTTAGGTTCCGGTTCCTTGAATTGAAGAACCTGTACTGTGCGGTTCCGGTTCCGGTTCCTTTTTTTGGGAACCTGTACTGTGCGGTTCCGGTTCCGGTTCCCCGAAAAAGTGCAGGGTACCCGGAATCGCTCACCCCTATGCCCAAATGATCACTCCCTCTTCAATTAAATTACCAGGAGAGGAGACCTGAGTTCACATTTAGTCATTTACCATTTTATCTCGTGAATAGCCATTGATTGGTGATTTAATTAACCACCGCTTGGAAGAAAAGAAGTGACTTCAGTCTCACTAACTCCACCGTTAAAATTAAAAGATGAAGGGTCGTGTTGTGACCTTGAAAATATAATCACCAGAGCTCACAGTTCTGAGATTT